TACTAAAAACACCTATCGAAAGCATTTTCAGGATGCCACAAATCAGAGGAAGCTAGCAGAGCAGACGGGGTAAATATTTTCAGAAAGTGGGCTCCAAACTTCCTTTGACCGTCATTAGGCACATATACCTGAAGATAGGATATCGGCGATAACAACCTACCCGCCCGACCATCCTGGGCGTATCCGCTCTGTTCACTGGCCGTGAACTCTCCAGTCGATCCGGAGGACGAGACTGTCTTCTGCCACTAGTGGACAACACTGGCGTAGACGCAGTCGCGGACAGTCTTGAGTTTCGGCCAGTTGCCCGGCCCGACGGCCGCTGTGAAGCATAGTCACTGATAGGGGAGGCAGACTGCGGCGTGGATGGTGCGGGTGAAAGAGATGATTCAACAACTTCGGAATCCTGTTCGAAAAGGGCGCCACGGCTGGTAGAAGACTCTGTAGGCTGCTGTTGCTGTGATTGTGAAGACGGTTGCGGAGATAGCGGCTGATGGGGTGTACCACTGAGGGAACATGGCGTCGAAGGCATCGACGAGTTGACATCCGAGACATCGTAACCGCCACCACCACCTAAACAGGACAAATGCAGGGGTTACGGTTCGGAACTGTAAAGACACTAAGCTACTATTACTTTAAGATATTTTAAATGTATGCGTCCATTTTATCACACAAAACATTCCCCTCGATTCGCGCTAGAATCGTTATCAGGGAAGAAACACAAAGTATTAATGGGTTTCGCTGAAACTTACTGGTAGAGGTTGCTGAGAAGGATGACCTCTTCTAAAAGAAAAAAAGGAACCGGTGAAAGGGAGAATACATAATGGGCGTATGAAGAGTACGACAATAGCGCGTACAAGGAAATCAGGTGGATTATATTTTATGTAGGGGTTCGACGTAAACGTAATCTTATAGTTTTTGAGGGCGCGTTTGAAAATGAAATGAGAGGACGTAACGAATGGCCCGCAATCGAAATGAGCACGATCACTAATGACACTTTTAGAGGGATACACGTGCTCTAACAGCTAGTCCACTAGAAAATGTATGAAGGACCATTATCACACAAAGAGGAATAAATAGTATAGTTATCTGGAATTAAAAGGTGCGCACGAAGTTAAAATTTCTAACTCTCGACACCGCAGGTCGAAAGTGGGAAACAACTTTCGGGCAACACTTTGCCACTCAAGCCTTCTAAAAGGCCCAATGGTATTCGTGTTATGATAGAAGACAATGAGAGCAGCAGAAGACAGTATTCAAATGCAGTGGCATAAGCAATGAGGTCGGGTAAAGTAACGTAGCACATGCTATTACACACAGGGCAGAGAAAACATAATTTTCGCCATCTAAATGCTGAAAAGCAAGCAATTGTCTTCCACCAACACCAAGACTTTATCTTAAAGGGCAGCGTTTGATCTTAAATGAGTCAGGAAAACTACAGCGTTACTTTTTTTCGACGGTGTTTTACGAAAAATTAAATTTGTTGCTACTAATATGCATGGGGCTGACAGAAACGTCCTGATATGATCGGCTTGAAAAGCGAAGTGTACGTCTGTAGTGGGTCATTGCCTTCCGATGTCTGGCTTTCCTGTCGTGGCCTCAATCTGTCTGGAGCTCAAGGTCGTTGCGGTCGCCAGACTTAGTAGCGCGAGTGACGTGGACCACCCAACACGCCGTCCAACCAAGCACAGGCCGACCTAGCCAATTAACGCACTCTCTCTCTCTCTGTCTACTGGTCTGACTGCTACTAAAACCGCACTTGGGACCCGGTAAATCTCCTGAGCGGACGTGTTCTCCCAAGTCAGACTTCTCTCATCTATTCTCCTTTCCCTTGTGTACACAATATACTCTTCCCACTACTCCGGCCTTAACCGACTTCTCCTCAACTAAGTAACGATGGTCTGAAGATCGCAGTTGCTGGGTTTAACTCACTTAACCCCTGCGATACGTCAGAACAGAGTCCACGTGAGAAAAGCGTGGCCACGCACGGATACACTAACAACATCATATGATGTCACATGAAACACGCTACTGTATCTGTTCTACTAACTATTATCGTTTAAGTACGACGTTTGCCAAATTATAAGATTTTATATGCTATGCAACGATTTAACCCTCCTGAACTACTGGTAATTATTCATGAAACTATCAAAAGAGGCATCGCGACATTTCGAATATAATGACTGGGCAACACCGATGCTTTTTTCGACCGCCAACTGCTCCGATAGACGACCGCCGACCGAACTGGTCTAGCACATGGAGTTGTTTTTGAACAAACACCGACTAAATTTAAAGCTTTAAAAACTGGTAATTTTAAATACCAGGCAAAGTAAAAACCAACCAAATTAAACTATAAATTACATCATAGAGACCAGAAGCTTCGACTAAAGAAATATCGGAGCCCTGTGAACGCTGGACATACCCGCTGTTTTGGCTGCCGGCTACCCAGAACGAACTGAACGGTCTTCAACGAAGATCAACGGCAGAATAAGCTCTAATGTCTTACGAAAAACAGTTACTGCCCATGCAACGGCAATATCTGTAGGGGTGTCTAGGCATCGATCCAGCGAAAGTTAGAAGGTAAAATGCGGTAGATTTATCTCTACATAAGAGATGTTGCCAAACCACGTGGTTTCACACGCCAGAGACCCCACAAAAAAGATCACACCCACAGACCAGGCAGAACTGGGAAGCCAGTCTGTCCGTATCCATAGGATCCTTTATTATAATAAAAGTGTTTACATAGTTATAAGCATATTGGGGCCACCACATGAACCAACGTGTTTAGTGAGCCGGCCATTTAGCATGCACTGCAGTGAGCAAAGATGCAGGTTTCTGGGAGGTGGCTACACACAAAGATCTAAGCACAGGAGTCCTGATTGCATGCACTCCCTCGTCCCACAGTTTCGACAGTGTTTTGATCATCGGAATTCTGGTTGCTTAAATCAAGCACAAGAATAACCAACACCACGACAGTACCCCCTCTACTACCTACAATACAGTGACGGGCTTGTGGGGGAAAAAGTACTTCACTGTAATTTTTTTTACCAAAATATATGGTTTTCTCTCGCAATTCATACCTAACTGTGCGATAGATTAGATTCTTTCTATGACACTAGAACTGCGAGGGCGTCCATGTAGGGCGCGACACGTTCTCATCTCTGGTCTAAATGAGATAGACAGTATCACCTCCCTTGAAAATTCTTCCGAGAAGATGACATCAGTCCTTGAAGGAATGGTCTTAACAGCTTGCACGCCTGATCGGTGGTTGACTGGGATGATTGTTTCTGGTTTATTTACCCCCATCGCAGACAATGTTCTGACCCCGGGGTCGGCACAACCTGAAAATCCTCACTCTCATGCAACTTGCCGTATTCTCGATTGTAGACGACAGGGCGTACGCACACGACCCACGTGGATGAACTTTCGACTGAAGTGCTTGGTGATCGACGGGGCCTCAGGCCAGCGTGCGATTGGCTAGCGACGGCAAATAAGTCGTAAGCGATTATTTTATTTTCTTCTTGGTTTTCATCTTCAATACAGTAGTCGCCGGCTATTAAGCCCACCTCGGGCCCAGACCAAATT